TAGATGATCATAGTTGCTTAGTCAGCTCTAATGGGCTAGGTTTCCACTTAGGCTGCATTTTAAATTGCTTATAGTGGTCACTAATCTTGGCTTTGCCCCATATATCTTGCCATTCTTCTAAGGCCTTTGCTTTTAGCTTCTTTTTTTAAGAAGCTAATAGATAGGAAGGTCTTAGGGTCTTTTTCTGACTAATTAGCTCTATATTTAGTATATTCATCAGCTTTAGCATTCCTATATATACCTATATGACCAGGGACCCAAGCTAGGTGGATTTGAACCCCTTTTTCACTGATTTTCTGAGCCCAGTTATAGATATCTCTATATAGAGCTTGACTAGCCTTAGGGTCTCCCTTCTTTAGATTTTGGAGGATAAAATCAAGCTTTTTGACTTCCTCCTGGATTTCAGCTCTAATTTCCCTATTAGGTTCATCTAGGAGGACCTCATTCAGAAGGTCTCTAGCCCTGGAGACCTTTTGGACCCTAATTAAGGTTAGATTTAGGGCTTTTGCCTTTTTCTGGGCTTTAGACTGGAGAAACTGGTCTTCCTCGGGCAGGTCAGACATCCTAAAAGGGGATGAATTGGGGTCCCTAGTACCCATAGGGGTTCTAGGGGTTTTAGGGGTGGTCATAGGGGCCTTTTTCCTACTAGAAGGCTAACTAGGCTAGATTTTTGAAGAGAATCAAGCAAACTAGTAGATTTGTTTTAACCAAAAACCTTCTACAAAGGAAAGGCTAGGTTTAAATTGGGAAGGAACCTAGAAACCACATTTTTAACAAGAAAAATAGGAAATGGTAAAAGAAAACTTGCAAGGGGGGGGGGGGGGGGAAGCCTGGGAGAGGCAGATTCCCTAGGGGTATATATATAGCCAAAAGGCACCTATATATATTTCCTAGGAAATAGTAGTTTTTAATAGGGAACTACTAAACCAAAAGAGATTTTTTACAGGGAAATCCCTAAAAACCAGCTAGTTTCCTTTAAGTACTTTTGATATTATCCTTATACTACTAATCTAGTACCTAAAACTAACTAGGAAAGGCTAGCTGGTTAGATACTAGGAGTATAACTCAAATATCTAGGTAAATAAAAGAAATAGCTCCCTACTATGACCTAATAGGGCTAGTTTCCTGTTTTTATTAGACTAAAACCCAGGAAAAAAGTCACTACTTTTTTGAGAGAAGTAGTAAACTAAAAGGCTGATATTTTTGATCAAAATTGCAGAAAACAGCCTAGAAAAACTGCTATGGTTTGCACTGCAGTAGGGTCCCTACCCCCAATCACCCTCTTCAGGCAGGTAGGTATTATAGAGGCCCTAGGGCTATATCAGTAGAGGTATAGTGGAGCTATAGAGGGTGTCAAGTCTCAACCCAAAATAGCTGTCAAAATCGTATCTGAAAGCCTGGTGAATAGTTCTATAGATTCAAATATAGTTATAGGAATTATATATAATGACTAGAAGTTCTAATCAATTATAT